TGATATATGCTAAAACTTGAGTAAATACAAAATACATTTATTTTGGGTATATCTCAGAATACATTGTGCACTGCCTTTTTCCTATTATGACATTGATGTACCCATCAAACTCAGTGCTGAAAAGAGTTTTTCTTATGCAGTTTTTCCCTCATTTCTCTGCAAGAGTAAGACGTGTTTCACGTTTTGAGAATCACTGAATAAATTTATATATTTAGTTAAATTATTAAAATTTCAGTATTATGTATATTTTAAGAGCATTAATCAAATTAATAAATTAAAGACATCTTTTTTACTGTTTAAAGAGAAATATCTAGGTGAACGTATTCAAATAAACCTTACTTAAAATTAGGTCTTGTTTCTTAATTTTAGATGATGTAATGTTGTTTCTGAAGATGTATGATCCGAAGACTCGGAGTTTGAATTATTGTGGACATATCTACACACCTATATCCTGTAAAATACGTGAGTTCTAAAATTCAATTTCGTTGTTATAATTGCGGTATTTTAAAGACCATAGATTGCATATCTTTTTACATCAGTGCTAGTCCTCTGGTACTTTTCTTCCCCACGTTGTGTCAGTGAAACTTTCTGCAAAGCTGAGTCTTGCCTGAATACGCCGTTGGCTGTCAGTTAATTTTTTTGCAACAGGTTTGCTGTATTCACCAGGTGTTACTGAACATAAACAGCTGTTTCAGGTTTGCTGTAAAGCTTTGTGATTTGATATTGCTCCCCAGTTTGGTTTTTTTCCTTCTATTTCAAAGTTTTGTTTTTTTTTCTGGAATGTACTTCCGCAATAGCTTTTAAAACAACGCTTGGACAAATTTTCACTATGGTGGCCTGAGAGCAGCTGTGCAGACTGAATTGGGCGTGAACCTTGGTTTTCATATGGGTCCATTTAAAGAATTCGGCAAATGTCCACTGAGTAAAAATACTTCCAATTTGTCATTTTGAATGTCTCATTTAGTTGACTTGTACATGCTTTCTAATTTTGTATTTTAGCTGTCTTAATTTTTTTTTTTTTAAGAGATTAAAATTTTTCTCTGGGGAAGGACAGTGTTATTTCACCTCTTTGATCTCGGATGGCCTTGCACATATTTTTGTTGCTGTTGTTCTGATGAGGTGGAAGAAAACCTTAAAGTCTGTCTCTGGGTTTAATGTCAATAAGGGAAGCTTTAACCTGGAAGGCTCTCTTTCTTGGTCATTTTTAAACTATTTATCCAGGTTAGAAAAAAATAGGTTCTCTTCTTCTTCCAGGAGGTCTTGCTAACAGTTAAAATACATCTCTTTTCTTTTACAATAGGTGACTTGCTTCCAGTTATGTGTGAGAGAGCAGGATTTCCACAAGAAACTAACCTTATCCTCTATGAGGTCTGGACTGATAGACTTTTTGTAACATTTTTGTCTTTCACATGCTATAACTAGAGAAAAAGAAGCTTTATTGGTTAAAAAAAGGTTGCTCATAACAATGGCAATTTATAAATTATAAGCACCGTGTAACCTGCAGCTTTGAAGTCTACAGTGCTTCGAGAGAGTATCAGCAGATAGTTAACTTCAAAACAGATTTAAAATTAACCAACTAGAAGTATGAGGCTTTAAAAACAAGAAATCTCTACGTAAAGTCCTACATGAGCATCTTTACTGTGCTAAATCTGTGCGTATCCTCCAAGTCGCAGTGTTAGGTGAGCTAATGCTGCTAACATCATTGGCAAACATATCAGTGTCCCCCTTAGACAGTGGAGTTGAGAAAATGTTGCGTCTTCTCCTTCCTTCCCTAAGCTAGAAGTGGGCAAACAAAATACTTAGGCTGCTAACGTCCAAATACAGAAACAGTAAATCTTTATAACTGCTGTATTTATTGAGTGCTGAAGGTGCAGATCTTGCCAAGGCAAAGTCCTTGGTATAGTAAGAACAAGGAATTGGTTCTTTATTGCGATTTCTGTTAGCAGTCATGCTGCTCTCTCTGGTGGTTTCAGGGGAACACGCACGTTTCTATGCTAAAAAAGCAGAACTGTCAGGAACTTCTCTGTGCAGGCCAGGGTTGCAGTTTGATTCCAGTTTGTTTAGATGGGTGCATTGATCCCAAGAGGTCAACCTACAAGTATAAACACGTAGTATGCATATAGGTATTTTATAATATATGCATTTTAATGTGGCTCTGTTCTTTTTTAAAAAACACTCTATTTTTAAAAAATTCAAGTGAAAAGTAAAAATGAGCAGCCAGTTTTATCAATAGTAATTAGATGTATCTGGTCCTTGTATCCATTTGCTTTCTTTGAAAGAAGACACAGGTCTTTTCTTTATTGTGGGATCAACAATTTTTGTTCTTTATTGCAGGAAGTTAAACCCAATTTAACAGAAAGGATTCAAGACTATGATGTGTCTCTTGATAAAGCCCTTGATGAACTCATGGATGGTGACATCATAGTGTTTCAGAAGTATGTATTTTAAGGCGCCATCTTATCATTGCAATTAAATCACCTGGTTCACTTTGAAAGCAGAACTTCCTTTAACTTAGCATTTTTAACAAGAGGAAAGTATAGTATTCCAACAGTAGGCATGTTCTCAGCAGTTCTCATTTGTTTATTCAAAGGAAAAATGAAAAAAATATTGGTAGTATTTTAATTATCTCATGCCACATTATTTAAGGAAAAGAAGGTTTCATCCTAGTTTAGGAAAACTTATAAACTAAAATAGGTCTTAATATTACCAAAGAGTGTGGTTCAGCAATGTCTGAGTTCTGCAGCTTTTTACTTGGAGCCACTGTAACTCAGACACAGAAGAGCCTACCAGCATTTCAGATCTTGGGCTCAGTACCATTACCACTGTATGAGGCTCTTGGCTTGGAGCTCCTAGAACTAGGACTAAACTGCTTTCCCTTTTTTTTCCTTTTACTCATGCTCACAATTAAGTTCCATGTTGGTCTACGGTGATGAGATGCTCCCAGTTTGCCCGAGCATATGCAACTCATAGGTGTACTGGTGCTTCAGCTGGAGTTTTCTCCAAGGCAGAAGGAGAACTCCTGCATCTTGTGTCCATTAAAGGGCTCTTTCATAAGCTTGTCAGGGCTATAAATCGGCATTTCTATGCTCTCACTCCTGATGGTCACACCCAACTGTGTTGCTCTGTTTCTCTCCATGGGCTGACAGTGGGTGGAAGCCAGCTAGTCTATCTTCAGCACTCTTACCCCAGATTATGTGAGATGAATGTATTTCTTATGCCTTGGAACTCGCATTCCCTGTTGACCCAGTTGGTGTTATGCACCTTTGGCTGGCTGCTGACTCCTGGGTAAGTGCACAGCTTGTACCCTGGTGCTATTTCTCCACTGAGAAGATAGGGGTACCAGTCAGTAGTGACCCAAACCAGCGTCTGTGCCGACTGTTCTGCTTCTGTGGTTCAAGGAGTGCTATCGTACACCTGGCCTCGAGGCAAAGCAATTCGTACAGGAGTATATGGAAAGCTGTGGCAGCGTTAATACAGACACACAGTAATGTGCCAGGGCGGGAGGGAGGGGTGACTACTGTTAGAATGTCACACTGAAAGGACCAGAGTATTGCCAGATTGCCAAATGAGTGAGCACAGCGTGTGGGTGCGTTTGCCCTTGCAGCACACAGAAACCCTCGGGCGCGTGGGTCACTACTGACTGTATTAGTTCTACTGTGTACGAATGGTGGCTCTTTAAAAAGGTTTCTAAAGTTTATTTCTGTATCTCTCAACTGTCGCTGACTTAATGTAGAACATGTTTTTAAAAGCAGGAACTGCTTGTATGTGTAACAATGTGATATGTAATGGCTTTATCATTTGTTTGCTCTCGTAGGGATGACCCAGAAAATGATAACAGTGAGCTACCAACAGCTAAAGAATACTTCCGAGACCTCTATCATCGTGTGGATGTCATTTTCTGTGATAAAACCATCCCCAATGACCCAGGCTTTGTTGTTACTTTATCCAATAGGATGAATTACTTTCAGGCATGTGTTTTATTTGTTTCTCTGCTTTTGTTTCCTTGTTTTGAAAGTAGCTTTTGCCCTAGTTCACACATGCATTATACATACTTTTAGAAAAGAGTAGTTCTGTTCTTGTACACTTTTTGCACTGCAGTAATAAAAATTTAAGGAAGCCAGTAACACTTGTGAGAAGAAAATACTCTAAAAAAGCCTCCAGTTTTAGCAATAATGAGTTATTTAACAATAGGATTCTTTCTTGATATGCCATTCTGCTCTGTCAGGGAAATGGTATTCTAATGAACTTATGCATTGGCTTTCTAAGTGACAAGGAAAACTTGCTCAACCTATTTAGGTGTTAAAAGGAAAATACCTTGGGAATCTAGCGATACCTATTTTCTGCTTGTAATATCACCAACAATATGCACTTTGTAGACCAAATTGTATTGCTTTCTTCACACAATGCTGTTTAGTGCTCAGTGGCACTGACAGATCAAACCTGTTGTGTTCACAGAGGGTGAACAGGGGTATTAGAAGAGGAAAACTGGACAATTAAACTTAAAAAAAAAAAGTTTAAATAAAGTAGATTTGGTTCCCTGCAGTTCTCCTGCAGTAGCCTTTGTCAGCGTCAAAAAGATCACCCAAAACCAGACAGTTTGTTTTCTGTCACCAAAGGCAGGAACTTTGAGCACCTGCATACCCAGGGGAAGTCAGGGATGACTTTTGCTATCCTGTTCTTATCATCTGCTTTTTAGCAACTGGCATTCTCTTATTGCATTTTTACTTGAAGTTTAAGTTCTTTATAGGTTTTTTTGGTAAGGGAAAAACAGACAGAGAATGCCCATTCTTTTTGTGAGGCAGTGACATGAAATGTACTGATGGGAATAATGTGGTGATATTACCCAGCAAGCTAACTTCCTTGAAGTGAATTAAAGAACAGTGGAAATTTTCAAAGAGCAAGGCTTACTTATTTCACCAGTAATACTGTAATTTAAAAACAAACAAATTTGTCTCTGAATTTCAGTAGCATAATGTTCCTGATGTGTAATGAATGACTATATAATTGTAGAGCAATGTCGTAACTGTCTGAAATAATTCAGAACTTACAAAAAAATTTATTTGCAGGTTGCAAAGACAGTCGCGCAAAGACTTAATACGGATCCAATGCTATTACAGTTTTTCAAGTCCCAAGGGTAAGATGAATTTCCTTAGCATTCTGTGTCTAAACTATTCTTTAAAATTCTTAGCCCAAATATTTAGCCCGCATATTGGTAGTTAGCAGTTACTTTGTAGCTTTTTCCAGGCTGTTAACTAATTCTTTACCAGGAAAACGTTAGCGTTCTGGCATGCACAGCAAGTTGGGTGGCTCTAGAGCCTTAAAGAATTGCACATTTTACAAGAGTTCTAGTAAGCATCATCGAAAAAAGATGCATTTTAAAGGTTAATTGTTTAAATTTCTAAAATCATTAATTGCTTCAAAGCCTTACTGTATGGGACAAATTATTAAGTTAATGCAAGTGCTGCTTCGATGAATGCAGATTTCTAGAATGGAGGAGAGCAGAAACAAGTGCACATAAAAGCAGGATTTTTGCTGATTTTACAGGTTTAATTGCAGGAGTTACTTCACTGATTTTTTTTTTTTTTTTTTTACCCCTCCTCCCCCAAAGCCTGCAAATGAGGTTTTGTGAAGATGTCAATGATCTAACAAGTTCACGGCAGCTAAAAGGGATATTTCCAGTTAAAGTCATGTTTTCAGGCATAGCTCTGGGAAACCGGATTTGAATCTGTGTAAAACTGTAGCAGAAAACAGCATATTAGTAGTTAAACGTATATGTTGCAGGAATAATGCACACACAAAAATTGCATCATCTTTGTGTATTCGTGTAAATTCAGATTGCTCTTTATTAACCTGTAGGTATCTCCCTTAATCATCAGTGACACTCATGTAATGTAGCTCCTTACACTTTACTGTGCTGGTCACTCTGGAATGTGCTGTCTCATACAGCTCTGCGAATTAACCTGTCACAATCTAAAGCATGTGCTGCTATACAAGTAGTTTCAGAGGAATGTAGATCTGCCACCTGGCAGCATTAAAGGTGAGCTTGTAAACATCCAAGAGAGTTAACAAGCACAGCAAATAGTATTTCTGTTCCCATACACTCACCTGTTCTTAAAAATCACGAAAGCACTGAATATGGTGCTGCTTAGGCTGTGCTAGCAATTACATGAAACTTGAAGCCAGGAATAAAAATGTGCTTGCTACTTCCATTTACTGAGCAGTGATGGATTGTAAAGAGATTTATGTTTTTCTTTTTCCTTCTGTAGTTATAGGGATGGCCCTGGTAATCCTCTTAGACATAATTATGAAGGTACTTTAAGAGATCTTCTGCAGTTCTTCAAGCCTAGGCAACCTAAAAAACTTTACTATCAACAGGTAAGAGTCTTCTGTTTTTATTGGTGCAAATTAAAAAAAAAAATTCTACCCTATACAAAGTATGCCTAAAGTGGTTTTCTTTTCTTCCTTAAGCTCAAAATGAAAATAACAGATTTCGAAAACAGAAGAAGTTTTAAATGCATATGGCTAAATAGCCAGTTTAGGGAGGAGGTGAGTGAGGCTGGCTGTTACACGCTTGCTGTTGTTTCTGTGTCAAAGCTGGTATGGCTGTGATCATGGTTCACACACTGTTGTTCCTGAATAACACCAAATTAGAACAAAGTTGTATGTTATGTAAAAAAAACAAACAACAAAATACCCCAAACCACCAAAACCCTTTAAAAATAAATTTAAAAAAAATTGTCAGTTCTTAACAAAAATCTTGAATATAATATGGGTGTTCACTTTAGTAATTGTTATCTTTTAAAGATGAATTTTTGAGAAAGAGAAGAATCCAGTGTATTCTGTGCTTTATAGTGGTTGTTTACATTTCCATATTTTCTAACAATTTTTCTGTTTCGAATTCTGTAGGAAATAACAGTATATCCAGATAAGCATGGGTGTGTGCGGGACCTGTTAGATGAATGTAAAAAAGTTGTAGAACTCTCTGAAAAAGGTTCAGGGAAATTAAGGTAAAGCTGGAAGATTTTGATTTTTTTTTTTTATGTGATCCTGTGAATTTTGTGTAGAGAAGTATCTGTAGAATTTAAAACACTGTGGAAACCATTATTATCAAATGAAGTGTGATACTATGTTAAAAATAAAAAGCTTCCAGATTTCACATTGTTAAGAGAGTTCTTATTAACTACAAATATAAATTTTATATAATTATTTATTTTGTATTTCATAAAGTTACATTCTTAAGATGAATAAGTTTCATCAATTGCATTTTGTTAACTGACAATTTAATAATTGTTTCCAATTCCAGCATTTCATGCTGTTCACTTCTCAGGAGTTAAAAGTGAGGTCATTTAAAGAGTTTAAGAAGTAATTTAAATTAAAAACCTTCGTCTTGTAGTTGCATGTACTGGCTTTTTTTTCTGTGAGCCAGAAGTAATTTAAACTCTTGTAACTTTATAACTTAATTTTTACTAAAGACTGAATTTAAAGTTTTCCAAATACAGTAGTAGCATCTGTTTACATTCTGACTACACTAATGCTTCTCAAGGTTTGAGAAAGAAATGTTGCACTGATCTATTATTTTTAATTTAATTTTTTTAATGCTTTTCCTGTTTGTTTATTTTTAAGGCTGCTAGAAATTGTAAGTTACAAAATAATTGGTGTCCATCAGGAAGATGAGCTGTTAGAGTGTTTGTCACCTGCAACAAGTCGAACGTTTCGAATAGAGGTAAATATTACTTTCTTAGAGAAACTTTAAAACTTGACTTTGAGAGAATAAGCTTTCTCAAGAGGTAGTTCTCTTTTTCTGGATTCTGATTTTCAAATAGCGTGATACTTGCAGCAAGCTACATGACATGATTAAAAATGTATATTTTTAAAGATAATCCTTCTGAAATTTTTCCTTTGTTCCATCTGCTTCCCTAATGATTTTATTCTTTAATTTTTTATGTAACAATAATAATGCATGAAGACTGGGCAGGGGCTTGTCCATATGACATTTGCTGCCTTAGCAGTAATTCCAAGGTTAGTTTGAGGACTCATGATATAAACGTTTGTGCTTAGAACCCACTTTCATACTCTAAAGTTAAGTATTCAAAAGACTTGGTTTCCTTTTCTGTTAAATTTGGGCTTCTTGAGCTAGATTTTTCTACTTACAATGTGGGTTTTGTAAACATTTCATCATTCAAATCTGTTTACTTGCCTTAAAGTTGAGAAATTTAAAAAAGGTTTCCAATGTAAACCGAAATGAGGAGATGACAAGAGGTCTGTGGTATTGCTACCAGCTACTACTACAGCTGATAGAAGATTTAATGTCCAAAAAAGCCATTCGAGGAAGCCAGGAGAGTATTTACTGAG